TTAAAGGGTTAGTTCACCCAAAAATGAAAATTAGCCCATAAATTACTCACCCTCAAGTCATCCTAGGTGTATATGACTTTCTTCTTTCAGACGAATCCAGTCGGAGTTATATTAAAAATTGTCTTTGATCTTTCAAGCTCTATTGTTGTACTCAGCGGGTGTTGCATTCATTCTGTCCAAAATATGTGAAATAAAAAGCACCCTTCCACAAAAAAAAGTGTCTCACACGGCTCCGGGGGGTGAACAAAGGCCTCCTGTTGCGAATCGATGCGTTTTTGTAAGAAAAATATCCATATTCAAAACGTAATAATCACTTGAATCTAGCTTGCGCTCACTGTTGTAAAACGGAAGCAGTTCCGGGGGAATTACGTATGAGGTCAGCTTTGCGCAGAGTTCAGGATATATGTTAGTGTAAGTTAACCTTGCTTTCTGGAATACCCCCCTGGTTTCTATAAATAATAAAAGAGTTCATATATATACTGTGTGTGTGTGTAACTTATTTATTATTTTATTAAAGAAACCAGACTACAAAAATATTTTATAGTTGTTTTTTGGGATAAGATTTAATTAGCTGTTGTTGCTATTACTTGCACTAGACTGCTTAATCCATATGACCACTGTATGTTTCTATTTTCAGACACTGGCTGGCAGGTGGTAGTGACAGTTGCTCTGTGGTCAAGAAGCTTCTTCTTTCTGCGACGATGGGGGAGAGAGATGCATGCTTATTTTCACCTGTTGCTCCTGCTGGGACCTGGATTAAACACTGCCTGTCCACACACTTCAGGCCTAAACACTCACTGGAGGAAGGTTCCCAAAGTGAGCACTGGTCATCTCACCCATTTTGCACCAGAAAGAGACTTGTGGTGGCCCTTCTGGTCATTTTGGCCTTGGTTGTCATGATGCTGCTTCTACTGCTAAATTATTATTGTATTATGGTCTGGCACCTGTGTCAACATGAAGAGTCTGTTCTCCCAGTATTTCAAAACACTACGCCAGAGCTGGACTGGCAGGACTGAGATGTTACACATTTGATTGTTTTTGTTTTAATATTTGGTGCACCCATCTGGGATGCATTTATGTTTTATGCTGCTGTGTTTTTTGTTTGATGTACTGAAATAACACTGAAAATCTCCAGTGTGAGATTTTTCAGTGGATGTGTGATGATATTAAAATGAAATTATTCACACTGTCAGGTTACTCAGTTCCTGAACTTTTAGTTTTGTATTTATTCAAATGACTTCCTAGGTTTGTCATTACATGGTCTTGAAAATTGTGCCTATTTTAATTCGCAGAGTCACTGAATTTATCTATCTATTTAAAATTGTTCATCTTTATCTAGTGAAGCTTGAAATGTAGTTAATACTGTTCATAAAAGCGGTTCTTGTTCAAGCTTTGTGTGCTTGTGATTCTTTAAATCGTGAGTGTTTCTTGGTAAATGTTTTCATTTCTCCTTTCAAGCTAATACAAACTCCTATCACTCAGTCATATTACTCAGTACATGCTTTTATTGAACTGACTGTATTGTAAACACTAAATCAAAAATCAAGCGTAGCGTTAGTTCTGGCAGGTCACGTTAGTCAAGCTTGCATCAGCTGACTCTCAGCTGATCCCCATCTGCCTATAGGAATAAGACACCTATCTAAGCATTTATATATAAGGTCCCTCAGTATTATCAGCAGTTTTCAGATTGCTCAATAGCTAATTACCCTTCTCCATCCCCAGATCCTCCTCTGTCAGTCAGGATTCAGCCTTCTGATTATCCTTTGAATCAGACTAATTCTAAAATGTGTACTCTTACCCAGAACAGAACCATACCGCCAATCCAAACTGTATGCTAATTGTCAATCATCTTTGACGATAGTTTTCCTGACAGAAACATAACCTTTGCCATATATTTGAAACCTTGTTCAATTTAAAATCTAAGAATTTAAGATGATGTTTGGCCTTAATTTAGTAATTCTGTTTTGTCATAAAATAAGCATTACTGCCCCGTTCATCAAGTGCACAGTAACTAATCAAAATGTGGATGATGTCATACATTTCTTAATTTCTTTTCCTCACAGTCCTCCCTTTTCCCAACCAAAAAGGAAATTCTTACCACATGTAGAGTAGTGCATTGTGGATACAAAGCAGTCCTGTTTATGCAAAGTGCCTCTGCTCTTGGCAGGAATTATCCTATTCAGAGCATGCTGTCTGTGTCAGCTTTTGAATAGAGGCAGGGGACACTGAATGAGGCAAAACCTTGTATATAAAATTGGTCTCCATCACATTAGTTCTTCAAGAATGACTCTAGATTAGTCAGCTGCACCAGTGGACACACCTTTAGGAGTCACATTTTAAAAAGATGACAGAAGAAGATTCTGGAATGTTTGGAACACTCCCTCATTCTACAAAAAGGTCATAATTAGTGCAGGACATATTGTGGTTCTACTAACAATCGATTTTACAACAATTATTACAACAACAGCTATTCTACATCTATGTGTATTTCCAAATAGTCTTTATAATAATAAAACATGTACACTTGCAAAATTGGTATTTCTTATTATTCTAAAGAAACTCTTTAAGCAAACTCAAACTGAAGCAGTCAATTCTTGGAGAATTTTATTATCATTATTTACTGTAGACTGTAAAAGAAATGGTTTTACTGTTACTAACTCTTTCTATCAGAGGGGCTTCTGTGTACAGGAGAAGTTTGTACTCTTGTTGGGGTTGCCCTTGGTCCTTCACTATCAATTGCACCAGGCAAACCCCAACTTTACTGATGGATAATCAGTTTGTTAAGTTTGTTGTCTCAGCAGCGCTCTTTCTGTTTGGAATCGTGTCTATTCTACTCCTGACTGTATCTATACATGAAATAAGAGAGCCACCGGAGTACATGGTACGTACTTCTGTGTCCTGCTTAAAATGTTAAATTATTTCTTTTGTGTTCTCTCTCTCTTTCGCTCTCTATCTTGCTCTCTATCTGTCTTTATTTCTTCTGTAGGTTAACTTGCATTTTACACAGTGTATCCTGATTAATGGGAGGGACGATTTTGGCAGTTGATACAAAGAGGAATTGTATTGTTTTTGTGGACAAATAAAAAACCTGAAAACATTGAATGGTCACAAAAACATGTTTTAAGCACACACTACGTTGCGCACAGCTGAATAATATTTAATTAATCGCTCTTTGTCAGGAATAGTGCATTACATGTATGTGCTTTCACATTCAGCCCTGCCTCAGACACTTAAGAATCCATATTTAATCATTGGGTTACAGACAGCAACATCAAAGCTGAAGGCCACATCCTGAACCACATATAAAAATTAGCATCTGAAAGTGCATAATAAAAAAGTATAGTATATTCAGTCAGTTTTGTAGCTGTGGGGAAGTGAGCCTTTACAAGGTAAACATAGAGAAAGGTCATTTTGTTCCTGTTGGGAACCCTGAAACAAATGAAGATGCAGACTCAGGATAGTTTGTTATGTCAGATACTTCCGGGAATTGCATCTCCAGGAGTGTGTCATCGGGCAACAGGTACATGTTAACCCCTGGGAGCCGTGGGTAATTAACTGTGTAACAAGTCATGGAAACACACAATATGTACAAAATCTTAGAAGTAATTGTACTGGAAATTGTTATCTCAAAATATGTGGTTACAGTGGTTTCTGTGAATAAATCACTGTCAAAGCATCTGCTATGTTCTTATTGTATGATGGAAATTAGAAATTTGACCAAAACTTTCAGTTCTGTTTGGTATAAAAACAGAGGACAATACATTCTAATCGCATTCACATTGAACATGGATTTGACCATGGATTATTTGAACGTTTTTGTTGTTGTTGTTGTTGTTGTTGTCTCTCTCTCCCATTGCTGTATGGGATTGTGCTGGATGCTGGCTCCTCACACACTGCCTTGTACATCTACAGATGGCCGGCGGACAAGTTAAATGGCACAGGTGTGGTCACCCAGCATAGCGAGTGTCATGTCAAAGGTCAAAAGACTTGCTGAAATATTTAACATTTTCAGGCAGATTAATGGTAGAGATATTTTCTATATAGATAAACATCTTAAGCGAAAAAAAAAAAATATATATATATATATAGAATTTGAAGGGCAAAGCCTGATTTATCTACAATATATTTTCTGGCATAATGTTTGTTTAAGATTTCGAAGATAGTAACATTTTTAGTAAAATAAATAATAAAATAATATTAAAAGTTCTAAAAAATAATAAGTAAATAAATAAATAGATTACTATTTCTATGTAATTATTATGTCTTGTGGTTCTTTGTGCAGGAGGAGGAATTTCTAGTTATGCTGGGCAGCAGGGTGCAGCAGGCCACAGCCTTGAGGCGTGCTTGAAGCAGGCCAAGCGGGACATTCCCCCAGACAGACATCACTGCACCACTGTGTATCTAGGAGCTACTGCTGGCATGAGACTTCGGAAGTGAGTGTGTTTTTTCCACCTATGTTATCATTTTATGCGTACAATGGCCACATAAAAAGAGAAAGATACTAAAGAACACGTCCTATTTTAAAACACTTTCTGGCTGTCTCACATTCTGTTTAATGTTACTGAAATAGAATCATTTTTCAGGCAGATTAATGATAAAGGTATTTCACATACAGATAAACACAAAAACACCAATATTTGCTATTTCAAGATATTTCAATCCAGATTCAGATGCACAGTTTCAATAGGATTTGAAGGGTAAAGCCTGATTTATCTACAATATACTGTATTTTCTGGCATATAAAACTTTTTCACTCTGCATACGTTTTAAATTGCTTAATATTTTCTCCAGTAAAATAGTGAAATATTTAGCAAATAAAAAATAAAAAAAATACAATACAATAATAAAAAAAATGTGAATAAATAAATATACCTCAGGGGAACTGACTTACATTTACTAAAATTAAATTACATTGGGACCAGTTTATCAAATTAGAAAAGAGAAGTTAGTTCTTAGAAAAGGTTTTTGCAGGTGCTTTTTGGTTTTACGTCATCTTAATGCATCTTAATGCTTAATGAACGAGTTGAACCGCATGACCTTACGCCTCTATGGGCAGGAGAATTCCCTCTACACGCATAGTTACCTGTGTTATGGTAAAGAAGAGGCTCTGCGCCAGATCCTGGCCTAGCTGGTTGAAGTATGATACTGTGCATCACAATTCAATAATACCTCGTATATATATATATATATATATAGACGCTATTTTTGTATTAAAAATGTGTCCACACTGTCTAACATGCTGCATTGCATCTCTTGCATCTGTAAATCTTTAAAATTCATATCCATATCTTCTGTTCATTATAGATGACCAAGAAAGCTCCTGACTTGAAAAAATACCTGAAGGATTATTGTGCAGTTGCAGTGTATATACAGGTGCTAATGCTTAGGGGTTTTAACTTTGATGAGCGCTTTTTTCCTAAATGTTGCTTTTCAGAAAAAGGGGAGTTTATCAAAATGGTACTCATATGCTTGTACATCACAGAACCACCTTAATTGACAAATCATTTTTACAGTTTTCTGCTGAATAAAATGCAAATTGTGTGAATGTGGGGTATGCAAAAACACAAAACCTCACTTTCAATCTCTATGTTACAGGCAGGTGAGGCGTCTGTGGGCTGGGCTCTGGGTTATATACTCAGTGTGAGCAGTCTTCTTCCAGAGGAACCTGTGGGCATCAGGAAGGGCTTGTGTCCTGCAGCATGGATTGGCTTGTTGATTCTCCTAACTGTCCTCCTCACTGCCACCTTCTGTTACATGGCTCTAGTGATTCGAAGGGAAAGGAGAAGGAGTCTCATAACTCACTGTTATTCTAAATGTTTGGGCAGACTCTTTTTAAAAGACACTCCACAAAATGATATGTTTACATGAATAATGCATTCATACTGTACTGTATCTAATTTAACAGAAAATAATATTTGTTTGTTTTTTGTTTTGCTAGAAAATTAAATGTTACTATTTTATTAGATTTCAGCAAATTTCTTGGTCTTTGTTAATCTTGTGTGATACACTAATCCATTTTATTAGAGGAAATGTATGTCTTTTTGATGAGGACTGTCGCTGATGTCTTCAGTGATCCAGAACTGTAGTTATGTATCTCTATTTTTGGGCCAGTTCACATTTGTCTTCAGTTAATGTACAATAAGAAATTCACAACATTTCACCTATTTCTCAGACTGATGGAATAAAACTGTGATGTTAGTAATTTACCAAGTTGAATTAATTTCTGATGCAGGTGAAGACAGTTTGTACAAATCCAAACTACTATATGTTTAACAAATACATATTAAACTATAGGCCTATTTTATTTATTGGTTACCATAAATTGTAAAGTTAGCTGACTGTTAAACCACCAAAATGAAAGAAAGATTGAATGTTTGAATGACACTGTTTGAATGAGTTTTTACTTCATTATAATTCATTATAATTTTACTTCATTATAATTTTATAGTATTATCAATATATATATATTTTTTTATCAGGAACTGCTTACCATTGTATTTACAATTTGCTTCATACAGCAACAGATATTTATCTTTAGGGTTTTAATTTACTAGGACAATAACATAAAAACACCAGATGATGGCAGTAAGCATCTGCTTAATTCTGTGGCTGGCACGTAAAGAAATGTGATCCTACTGCGCATGCGCATATCACCTCCCTTCGTATCTTAGCCATTGCCATGTAGAGCTCTTTGGCATTTTTAGCCTAATCAGCTACAGTTTTGATTTATTTCCAGGTATAAAAAATGTCCGAGCTTGAAGCTAGTGTATCGTGTTCTCCGCAGTGTGCGGAAACAGACAAAACCAAAAATACAGACGATATCAATCCAGAAACAGTACAAAACACTAACACCAATATTTCTCAGGTTGAAGAAGGTGAGTCTATCAGTTGAAACCCTTCAAAAAACTTCAAAAATGCAGCCATGTGGAATTTATTTGCATCGAATGCTTGTGTTTGAGATGGATTCATGGGTGGTAATAAAGCTTAGCAAGCCAACAAGCTAGGCTAGGCTAAATATTAGTATCCATCATTCACTTTAAACAACCACCACAAGAAAAAAATACCTTTTTAAAATATCTGGTGTGTTTGTAAGTCGATTGTCACCATACATCGGCTGAAAATACACGTTAAGACCCAAAACGTGGTTTTAATGAATCATACCATCCTGAAAATCGATTAATTCGCCGATTAAGTAACAACGTAGCCAGGTACCGAATGCATTTTTAGCCTCATATTAATCCACCATTGCCAGTGTTACGGGAAGTAACAACTCGTTTGTGACATTTCAGAACGTTTTAGTGCGTTTTAAGTTGTTTATTTTTATTTCTAACTAATGTCATTTTATTTAAAAAAATTTTTTATCACATTATATAGGGATTGATGTATATGTTCTTTTAGACAGCAGTACAAACAAGTTGACCTTAATAAATGCAAATTTAGTTATGTTTTTATGCAATTTTAGTAACCACAAACTTTTAACATATTGGTGTCTAGATTGTTTGAGCTGATAGTACAATGAAACATTCAGGAACAAACAGCCTTACCGAATTGAAACTTTTTATGCAAATAATAGACGTGGAATTCAAGTAAGTTTGACACGTTTTACAATAACATGAACATCGCTGTTTCATTTTTAATATATGTACATTGCAGCATGGCATTCATTTAAATAATGCCAAAAGAATCCACAGCATGCACAAATTGTCTATATAGCTATGCACAGCATCAAGACCATGTCATTTATTGGGCTAATATTATTATTGATTTTTTTAGTTTGAATCAGTTGAAATAATTTAGATTTTTTTGATTGACATTATGATGTACCAATGCCTAGATTCAGTTGTAACATTTAAAACTATTGGTCTTTAACTGCAATTGTTTTTATAACATATTTTTAATATTGGTCAATTATTAGTAATCAGGAATAACATGAAAATAGTTGTCAATGTATCCTTAAATCTGTTAAAATAGTTTTTTTTTTTTTACTTGTTATACTAGTCTTGCACCACAACAACCTGATACATTATTACTAGTATGCTTTGCATGCACACATTGGGCCTCATTCATGAAATTTAAGCAGAATAAATTTCTCTGTAAATCACCTGTAAAACCATTTGTGTGTAAATTGTCACATTTAGTTCAGTCCAGTGATATATAGGACTGAATTCTTGAACAAAATGTATTTACTGCTTAATTATGCTACTGATATTTCTTAGAGATAAGATAGTACAGTACTGTCTGTTTCTTGTTGACTAGTGTTACTGAAAGCCTCACATAGTGCCTGAAATCTATTTCTTATCATAAATCATGCTCTGTGAAAATCTGATTTGTAAAAAAAAAAAAAAAAGTTTATACAAACCACATAAACTACCTTACACAAAATTATGTTAAGATTATTTCAAACAGTAAGCATTATTTTACATTATTTTTCCTTTTACTGTCTGATTTTTCTGCAGGGTCTCAGGGTGACAGTGATCTTCTCAAAGGCCTGTTGACCGATAACTTCTGTCACATCTGTGAAGCAACCCTGCTTTACGAGTCCCAGAGAGTTTCTCATTATGAGGTTTGTGAGGTTGTTTTTCATGCAACTGTATCAAGTTTTTTCAGGCAACCTCAAAAGGCTGCAGTCATATTTCTAACGTTGGTTTCTATGTTGCCAGGGGAAAAAGCATGCACAAAGAGTCAGGATGTACCTACAGAGCAAGAAAGCTAAAATAAATAAGCTGAGCCAAGATTGTGGAGGCCTTTTGGTATGTAACACATCATACAGAATATGCATATATTGCTTTTAAGTGTGTGTCAGTATTTAAAGTGCCCCTATTATGGGTAATGAAAGGTTCATATTTTGGTTTTGGCAGTCCCCAACAACAGGTTGACATGCATGCAAGGTCAAAAAACACTTTCATTGTCTTATAATATGCATTTGTTTTTACCTTACTTGCTCAACTACCAAACAATTCGCTCAACGATTCATTTTTCCAAACCCCTCCTTTCCGTGACCAAACCCCTCCTAATCTGCGGTGATTGGTCTCATTTTCATTTCATCATGCCTGTAATGCCTGATAATAAAGCAGCGTTTGTAAGCAGTGTTGCCAACTAATTTTCAGGGGAAGTTGCTAAAGGAAAGTCGATTTGTTGCTAAAAGTTGCTAAATGACGTTGTGATGTCATTGCGCGATGACGTCGTTACGTAATCACGATGCAAAATTGTGCCACTACATCAAATCTCAGCAAAAATATATTTTATATGTTAATTTAGTGTAAAATAATATAAATGCATAATATAATGTTAAAATAATAATAACTATTTTTATATACAACATTGAACACTTTTGAACAATTTAATTTTTGAACGATTACAAGTTTTTTTATTAGCTAGTAAACTAGTAAAACTACACATTCTGTACAATTATAGTTTTAAGCAGTGTATTAGTTAGTTAGTAACAGCCGTTACCGGGGAAACCACTATTTTTACCGCTCCTAAAGCCGCACCTAGTGGCAAAGAATGAATTTGCATTTTCATTCAGACCAACTGGAAAAGACCAACAAGTGGGCGGGCAATATGCTAATGTTTCATGTTGACGTCAACATGAAATAGCTTGGGATTCGTTTTAAAAACGACTCGTTTCAATGATTCAGAGTCGACTCTTTCTTTTGAGTGACTATAACTTTATACACGGTGCACTTTCAGATTTGAAATTTTGCAGGATGTTTTAATTCACTTAGAGCTGTGTTAGACACTGCATGAAAGGTAATTTTCATAAATCCATAATAGTGGCACTTTAATACTTCATGTTGTGCTTCAGAGAGGTCTGTCTGCAGAGAAGTTCTGCGAGCTGTGCAACATGGTATTCAGCTCTCCAACTGTGGCCAAGTCGCACTATGAGGGCAAAGTTCATGCCAAGAATATGAGAAAAACAAATCCTCCGCCACCTGAAGGTGAGTAAAATCAATCTGGAACCTGTTAAATTTGAGACTTCACCATTGTGGGCAAAACCTGTCATAACTCTATTTTGTTATATTCAACTTTCAGCGCCCGTCCTAGAATCCACAACTCCTGTTGTCCTCCCATCAGAGGCTGCTGTGCAGAATCAGATCAGTCAGGAGCAGAACACTTCTGGCTCGGGCGATCAAGAGGTTGATCTCAGTGACCCCAACAAGTATTGTACGCTGTGCAGCGCTTCCTTTAACAACCCTCTGGTCGCCCAGCAGCACTACAGTGGCCGGAAGCATCAGCGGAGCCAGGCCCGGCAAGAGATGCTGGACCAGATGGGGGAACAGTCAGAACATGGTATACGCTAATATACATCTACATTGGCCAATTTAGTAATATTACAATTCATTACAATTTTTTATTCAATAATATTTATGATGATTTTATTAATTATATTTAATTAAATGTAATAATTATATAAAGTATATAAAATATCATAATTTTAGGATGTCACATGTAATCCATTAATGTAAACAGAAGTATTGTTGTACTCAGTGGTCGTCCACTGATATTTGAAGAACTTAAAGGGGTCATATGATGCGATTTCAAGTTTTCCTTTTCCTTATCATTATACCCTCTTTCTTGGACTATTTTGTTTTTCTCTCTCACACACATTCAGTGAGCTCGCTGACTTGCCCGATTTGTTGTCTGACGCTCAGCTCAATAGAGATGTACCAGGCACACATGCAGGGAAACAAACACATTGTCAAGTGAGTGACGTCGCTCTCATTGGTTATTTTATCTGATGCCGTTTTTGTTACAGCCACTTGGATTTGGGTCTTGTTTTAGAAGATAGAACTTAAGTTTACATTAGCATTAGGTTGATATATAGGCCAGGCTGCTTAGTCAGCAATTATTTGACATTTTTAGATTATCAATATTGGCTGATAACCAACGTTGTTTGCTTTCAAATATTTTAAAGTCAATGGGAAATCAGAATGAATCTTGTTTACGTTCTAAATATGTATTCATTGACAAAATCCAACCATAGATTCTTCTTTTTAATATATTTTTTTCTATTTCATATAAAATATTATTTTTGTGCAAATGTATAAGATTAGAGAAATTTTTGTGGCAAATGGATGAATTTCCTGTTGACTTTAGGTGAAATTTGAGTTCATCTTCTTTAAAATAAATGTTTATACATAGTACAATTATTTCTGCATTTTGCATATTTGCGTACACTGTAAAAAAAAGACATTTTAAAGTTGTAAATGAAAAGATGGGAATATATTTTACAAGAAAATACCATTTTAGTTTTCTGATTTCAGCATGTTACATGCCATTTCTTTGTATTTTTTTGTGAAACTTCCTAGCAATTTCTGAGTGAAAATTGTTTCCTCACCAATTTGTTGGAAAACTCATATTGCCAATCACTTGTTTACATGCAACTACTTTTATCTTAAGCTGCTTGTTATTAACCATCCAAATCAGTGAAATGTCATTTATCTTTGCCCTTAGAGAGAAGAAAGTTATGGAACTGTGCAAATCTCAGAAGAAAGTGTACGACTCCTTCCAGGATGAGCTGGCTGACTACATTCAGGTGCAGAAGGCCCGGGGACTGGAGCCCAAAGCAGGACCGGGCACCATAGGACAAGCAAACAAGGATCTGGATGAGAGTGTGAAAGAAGGTCCACAGAAAGCAGAAGAGATGCCTCATCCTGGCAAGCTGGTTCCACGTTTTCCACCTCCTGGTTTCCCTCAACCTCACTGGCACCCACACTTCCAGTCTCAGGTCAATCAATTTGGCTTTGGCATGAGAGGCCCTGTCCCACACTATCGGCCGGGGTATATGCCCCATGTCCATCCTCCTTTCACACCTGGTCACCTGTGTAAAAGAGGAAGGAGCCCCGAGTCATTTAGCTCCTCCTCTTTTTCAGACTCCTCCTCTTACACTAGCAGCAGTAGTGACAGCAGCAGCAGTTACGACAGCAAAGAGAGGAGGAGACGGAAGAGGAAGATGAAAAAGGGAGGGAAGAGCAGAAGAGACCAGGAGGAAGGGTCTGATACGGAACGGGGTGAAAGGAAAAAGAGGCGGAAAGGAGACAGGGGAGGAAGTGTAGAAGGAGAAGATGATAGAAAGAAATGGAAGGAGAGAAGAAAAAGAGAGAGGAGCTCTAGTGAAGACGAGGAAAGCATAGGTAAAAGCAGAGCAAGCAAGAAAAGTAGGAGGCACGGGGATGGACAGCATGCAAAGAGACGAAAGGAAGCGGAACTCTTGGTCAAACAAGAGATTGAAGTGCACGAGGAACCACAGGGAAAGATGGAGGAACAAGTAGAAGTCAGGACAGAAACAAAAGATGGCAAACACAAACACAAAAAAGAGAGGAAAAAAGGAAAAGAGAAGATGAATCAAGAAGACAACAGGACAGAGGAGGAAAGGCTCTGGGATGAGACGATTCTTGGTGTTTTTTAGACAATGATGGTCTGTCGGTATTGTTCTAATTAAACTGCACGGGACCTCAGAAAAGCATTTTCCTGAAATCCTCTGGGCTCTTCTCAATATGTATGCTTTCTGAAGAACTTTGAAGGCCTTTCTTTCAGAAACTCATCTGCTCTAAATTCCTTGTTAAGGAATCAGAAGTGAAAATGTTGTCATCATTTACTTACCCTCATTTCATTTCAAACCCATATGACTTTTATGGAACATTTAAGAATGTTCTTGCAGCTTTTTTGCAATTCAGTGAATTTGAATAGAAGCTGTCATTCTCCAAAAATGACAAAAAAGCAGAAGTCAATACAACTTGTGCACTATATTTCAATTATTTTGATTTTTGGTGAGGTACAGATCAAAATTTATTCAAAATATTGGCTGAAAATAATGCTGCCTGCAATTCCACATTTTCAACCGTGAGCAGAAATGTGACATGCAAAAAAACTACAGTGTTTGTTAAAAACAAAACAAAAATCAAATGGCTTCAAAAGACTTTATATTGCACAAGTTGTATGAATTAACTGTCACCTTTAAGATGCTTTTGCCATTTTTAGTGCTTGACAACATCCATTCACTTTCACAGGGTGGAAAAGAGCAACATGAACATTATGCTAAACCTCTCCTTTTGTGTTCCACTGAAGAAAGTAAGTCAGGCAGGTTTGGAATGACATGAGGGGTGAGTAAATGATGTGAAAATGTTCATTCTTTGAAATGCTCAGGACTACCGACTTTAGGACGTCTCTCTAGAGCTGCACTTCACTCTTGTAGAAATCACTAATATTTTATACCTTGAGGTGTGATGCAAAAACACTATGTTAGCCATCCACCATGTCCATGTGGATGTGTCCTTCAACTTGCTTCATGCTTTGATCAAATAAATCCCTCCCGCTGTTTATATCAGCATAGATTTAGTATTTATTGTAAACTTTTTCGAAAAATCTAAAAATACATGAACCTTTCTTTATGACTCCAGTTTTGGTCTCAAGGGGGCGCTGAGTGCCAGCATGTACGCTTTATGTCGGTGGTGTCAAACTCAATTCCTGGAGGGCCACAGCTCTGCAGACTTTAGCTCCAACCAGCTCCAAATCACATCTGCTTGGAAGTTTCTAGTGTGATCCTGAAGACCTTGATTAGTTGGATCAGGTGTGTTTGATTAGGGTTGGAGCAGAACTGTGCAGAGCTGTGGCCCTCCAGGAATTGAGTTTGAGACCAATGCTTTATGTGGATCTGCTAGAAATGTCTTTCAGACTTAGTCTCTATGTTCAAGAAAGACATGAAAGAATGCAATCCTTGGTTTTGTGTGAAATATTTTTGTTTGCAGGTCTAACAGGTGCAGGAGTTGAATGAGGACACGACTGCTACTCTGTTGCCCTCTTTCTTGCATAGAGCTGCATTTCCCTTTTTGATAGTTAACACACAATCATGCAATAATCCGTTTATTTAATGACTCTGCTGCTAAACCGATTTTCAATGTCTCCATTAAACAATCCTTAACTAACTTTTGGAACACTTTCTGACTGCTCAGGGAACATACTGATTGTGGGAAGATGAATGTGGATGTGTTTCAGAGGAAATAATACTTGAAAATGCTTTGATTATGTGTTCTTTATCACATTTGCATGAAAATGGGATGGTTCAAGCAGAAATGACGATTTTGTAATTTACTAACCCTCATGTGTTCCAAACTCATATGAGAGTGGGGATGTGGGCTGGTAAGCTCAAAAAGGACAAAAAAAGCTTCAAAAAATAATCATGAAAGTTGTGTGCTGTCTTTTGTTTTTTTGTGTGTCATCAACAGACCAAAATTCATTATTCAGAGAAAATGCCTTCTGCTGTCTGGCTTTAGATGCAACGTGAGACTTGACATCAGTGAAAGTCACCAATTTCAAGGCAATTTCCAATATCAAGGCAGCCAGTTTGAAAATGCGGAAGCACAAGTGATATTATAAGTGACTGTAATAATTGCCTAATAGTTTTCTGTCTCCCTTTTTTTGTCATTTTAAAGACATGCTGGATCCCCGGTGTTACCTTTCAATGTATAAAATAGAGTAGCCTAGTACATTGTTCAATAGGTTGAAAATAATATATATTTGAAATGTTTTTGAAAGAAATCTCTTATCTTTACCAAGGCAGCACTTAATTGATCAGAATACAGTAAAAACAGTAATATTGTGAAATATTATTGCAATTGAAAATAACTGTTTTAATATATTTAAAAATGTTTATTTTTTTTAATTATTCATTTTTATTCCTGCGATGCAAAGCTGTATTTTCAGCATCATTACTCCAGTCTTCAATGTCACACGATCAATCTAATATGCTGATTTGCGTAAGTCTAAAAATTATAAGTAGAGTAAGGTACGTGGAACAACATGGTGGTGAGTAAATGGTGGCAGAAGTTTCATTTTTGCATGAAATATCCCTTTAATTTGCATGCAGGATCAACTCTAATGTTTGTAATTCTACTAACCATGTTTTGATCTTCAAATGCACTTGTATTAAATTGTGGATCTGACACCTGTAGCTTCTCACACAGCTTTTGTACTTCAGAACGATATGAACTTTTTTCCAAGTCTTTGTAACCGCAGAGTTGAAAGCCCTCCGTAGACACAAACTTGTCGACAGTCGCACTAAAGCGTTCTCTCGAGCCCCCTGAGATCTCCTGTTTTCAAAGAATCGTGTGGTTCGGCTCCCTGTGTCTTTGTCGTACCCTCGACCTCCGAGGCGTGTGCATCTCCCACATCCTCTCCTCTTCACGACCCCTCCACGGGCCCATGAGCCCCTCCAGCCCTCCTTGAGAGACGAGGGCCAATGAACGCGATCTCTAACACTTCAGCTCAAAACTCCCACACAAGCCCCTCTGAGCTTCAGGCTCCAGAGTCCCACACACTCAAAAACTTCATTAGTGCAGTTTATCTCGAATATGGAATGGAAAATAAGCACATTGATTTTGAGTTGAGAAATGTTGATATTCTGAATAAAAACCAACAATTTGACTTTGTGGTGCAAAAACAGGCCTGTAGTTTTGTTCTTCGGGGTTGTACGGAGTTACTGTCATGATGCTATGGTGGAATTTTCAGTGCATATAAATGAACAAATCTTTATTCATGAATTATTATGAACGAAATGTGTATGTCCAGCCTAGAGGCCTTGGAATAAACTTATCGTGATCTGCTCTATCAATATATGATTTCAGTGTAAAGCGGTTTTACACTGTGAGAAAAAAGTGTTTTCCAAAATGCATGATTAATCAGAGTTTAGTTTAAGTGCTTTTGTTTTTGTTTTGTTTTTGTTTGACCTAACTAGTAATTCAGCCAAAGTGATATGTGATTGAGTAGATACAACTGTGTCTATACAGTACCATACAGATTTTTTTTATTTTTTTTTGGAAAATATAACCAACAATTTGACTTTGTGGTGCAAAAACGGGCCTGCAGTTTTGTTCTTCGGGGTTGTTCGGAGTTACTGTCATGATGCTATGGTGGAATTTTCAGTGCATATTAATGAACAAATCTTTATTCATTAATTATTATGAACGAAATGTGTATGTCCAGCCTAGAGGCCTTGGAATAAACTTATTGTAATCTGCTCTACCAATATATGAGTTCAGTGTAAAGCGGTTTTACACTGTGAAAAAAAAGTGTTTTCCAAAATGCATGATTAATCAAGTTAAAGTTTAAGTGCTTTTGTTTTTTTTTGTTTGACCTAACTAGTAATTCAGCCAAACTGATATGTGATTGAGTAGATACAACTAGGCCTGTCACGATAACAACTTTTTGTTGTGTGATATATTGTCACGGAAATAATTGCGATAAGCGATATTATTGTCATTTTAAAGACCATTTTATGCCACTGAATATATATT